CAGAAGTAGGATTTGGTGGACAATTTTTTTGGAGGAGGAAGAATAGACAGGAAGGGGTCAAATACCTATCACTATCATGTTGAAACAATGTTTTTTCCTCCACTGGGTCTTAGGGAAGTTCTGGGCAGAACCATGCCTACAGGAACAGATAGAAGTATTTGCCAGCTTGTGGCTTCCAGCAGATGCAACATTGCTAATTTTTCATCACACTTCAACCACAGTGACATTAACTATAGACTAAAATCACTGTTTTGCAGGCGTACAACACTGCAGTAGTCTGTCACCAATTGTTAAAGTGACACAAGAAAATAATTCTTATTTTTCTTAATGTGCTAGGTATAAAAACAATACTCAGTACCATTAGCATTCACTCAGTCTAACTCATTCCCACACAGTTTGAATATCCTGCAGTACACAAACCAGGTATCAGATTTTCCAGAATGATCAAATCCTGCGCCTTGCTTTGCTTCATTTCTTACTTTCACGTAAGTAATCCCTTGCTGCTGAACAAAATTTGAGCCTAAGGCCTTAACTTGCTGGAAAGGAAATGCCAAATTGCTCTTTGTGATACAAAATACATGCTGTATTCAGTAATAATTCACAAAATTAATTTAAAAATTCTTTCTTATTATAGAAATAGGGTAGTAAATTCTAAAGAGAGGCCACTAACTTTACAAGTATCTCTATTTTCATTCTCTATAATTTAAATCTGGCACAATATCTCAGCCATTGTGACCTTTTAAAAGGTAGACCTTGTTACCTCACCTAGGATTTTTGGAGATCTCTTAAAACATTGCTCTTTTAGGCATTAAAGATGAAATCATTTAAACCCCTGGAGGGAACAGGGTACTGTTTGCACGTCTGAGGGGATTTTTGCACTGCTCGGAGCCTATTATGAACAGTAAGGGTAAGTATATATGTGAAATAGAACAAGGCAGATATTTCGGAGGTGTGTAGAGCGATGGGGCAGTAACAAAATAATTAACTGGGCTGAATTCCACAAAGCAGTGTCTCATACATTAACCCATCAAAGTACCTGACACATACTTATAACCTCAAGGGCTTAAACTATTCTGAAGTTAATGGAAGTGCTGTGTTGGATCACAGCCAGGTTGCTCAGCTTCTTCTGAGATTATGCCCTGACACACCATCAATGATTTTTTCCCTGAGCACAAAGGGCACAACTGCATCAGAATGGCATGGGTGTGGTAAGCAGGGGAAAAAAATAGCAGGTGGAAGAACAGATTCACTACCTCTTCCAGCAAGATCTACATAAACCCAGTAGAGCCTACTACAAAACTCTGTACAGCAACAAAAGAGCATTTAGACCTTTCTGAAAATATCAAATAAAGCCCATTAATGAGCATTTTGAATAGGCGTGTAAGGACCTGACCTCCAAGGAATAAATATAGAGTAAATAGGAGAACACAGAAGTGTATCATTGCTTAGGGGTAGATCCATAAACTTGTTTCTAAAGGAAAAAAAAGGAAGAGATTGGTCAAGCGTCAAAAGACAAAACTCATCTTCAATGGACAGAGACATGCTCACGCATGGCTAAGATTGCCTTGCGCTGAGGAATCAAAGAAATATCTGTTAACACATGTAAGACTTCTTGGAAACAGAAATACATAGAAATTAAAAAATTTTCCACTGTGGAGAAAGCTATGAAAAAATCATTAAACTTCTGTCTGGGCATTAATATTACTGAAATCACATACAACTTTATTAATATATATATAACAATGCATTCTACATTCTACAAAACACTATTTAGTGCTGTCCTGGTTTTGGCTGGGATAGAGTTAATTGTCTTCCTAGTCCCTAGTATAGTCCTGTGTTTTGGATTTAGTATGAGAAGAAGGTTGATAACACGCTGATGTTTTAGTTGTTGCTACGCAGTGCTTATCCCAAGTCAAGGATTTTTCAGTTTCCCATGCTCTGCCAGCAAGGAGATGCGCAAGAAGCTGGGAGGAGACACAGCCAGGACAGCCGACCCGACCTAGCCAAAGGGATATTCCATACCATAGGACGTCATGCTCAGTATATAAACTGGGGGGGAGCTGGCCAGGAGCCCCGGGATGGCTGTTCAGGGACCAACTGGGCATCAGTCAGTGGGTAGAATGGGTGGTGAGCAATTGCATTGTGTATCACTTGTCTTTTCTTGGGTTTTATTTCTCTCTTTTTTTTTTTGTTACCTTCCTTTTTATTACAATTTTAATTATTATTTTATTTTAGTTATTAAACTGTTCTTATCTCAACCTACAAGTTTTACTTTTTTTCCCGATTCTCCTGCCCATCCTACCAGGGGGTGGGGGGAAGGAGTGAGCGAGCGAGCGGCTGCGTGGTGCTTAGTTTCTGTCTGAGGTTAAACCATGACAAGTGCACAGTCTGGGGTACCCAGTGTTGTACTTATACAGCATCCAGACTTTTGAACAAATCCAGCTCCCACAAATTCATTGGCTTTTACTGTGTCAGATCAGGAATTAATTTGGCCCCTGTGGTTATAGATGAAGAGAACACGTTGAAAAGTTGGCTTAACTGAGCTACATCAACAACATACAACAAATAAAGGCAGAGCTATTTTAGGTAGAAATTATACTGTCAGAAGAAAACATAGGCCAGTAAATAAGCATTTGTTTTATAAGAGGGAGAAACGCATTGAAAAAAGTATCTTTAAAGAGAAGGAAGGTAGCTGGGAAAACATGTCAATACCATAAGAACCCAATCCCAAAGCAGCCAATCTCAAAGAAAATAAAAGAGGTACTCTGAAATCAAACCTTCAGGTTTACTGAATTTGAGCTTTCTACTTCAAAAGTTATCTTGTAGAATATGTCTCTCTCTTTCAAGCCCTACTCCAATCAATAGTATTGCAGCATGTGGTATGTGACTGGTATTTAAATACAATAACTAAGTAGTTTAAGCAGTAAGCCAAATAGAGTGGCATTAGCTCTATTAATAGCCACTCTCCCTCCTCTTACACTACTTATTTTTAATAGAGCATATGTTTCTAAAGGGGCCTGACACCATATGTCTAAAGACTGATTTTTCCTGCCTTATTCATGGAATAAGAATATCACTTAGCAAGGCAGAGAGAAGATATCTGAGGTCATTAACTTCTCTAAATAGCAAAAGGTTCAAAACCATGTCACAATGTATTATAAAAAGAGAGATGTCTCTACGGGAAAATTTCTATGTCATATAAAGTGCAAGAAAAACCTGCAAGACCAGCCTTTTCAACAAAAGCTACATAATGTTGTCTCTTTGCACCTGCTATTTTATTTCTATACTGAAACCGCCAGACTTCCAAGGGTACAGAGTACCTTTCACTATCACTGACTGCACTGAATTTATAAACATTTCTGAATTTCCACACGAATAGAGACTGTCTAACAGTACATTTGGGGCTAAGCAGGCACGCAAGTTTTTTTAACATGCTTGCCTAAATTACCAAACCATTAAGTCAAACAGGACTTATAATTAGAGAAAGATTTTTTTTTTTTTAAAAAGAAAGTTCAAAGTTTGGAAATTCAAGTAGGTAGGACTCAATGACATGAATTGCTATCAGTATTGATTAATACAATCACTTCCTATTTCTAAATACACTGACTTGTCCTTTTACATTGTTATGTTCCAGAGGGCTAAAAAAATACAATGTTTTAAATATATTTTAACTATTGATTGTCGGGAAACAGCTTTCAGAGTATTAAAAGCCTGATCTAAAGGGTAATTCTAAGGGAATTAATAGTTTGATCAAAGCCACTTAGTTATCACTTATGTACGTGAAAGGTTTGGAACAGGCTCTCCATGGTATTTTTTAGGTGACTGAAATGCTCTTGCCAAAGCAATATAATTGTATAATTACTCAAGTAATTATAGCTATTGCCACCGATTAGTGACAAATAATATTCCTGTTAGCAAAATTGTCATTGTTTCTTATTCTTCTTCACTTTTCTTTAAAAAACCACCTCCATCCTTTTTCAATCTGGTATCCAGTTTGCATTTATAAAAGAAATAATTATTCAAGTAAAATTGCAGTAATTTGTTTCAAAATAATCTGTTGTCAAATTGCTAAAATTAGGCCAGAAAAAAAAAAGGAGAAAACCAAGACTCTTATAACAATAGGCTTTCCTTTTCTACTTCTAAAATTACCTTAAAATCAACATCCCTCATGCTTACTTCGCATCTTTCGGGAATATTCCTTAAACTCTGCAGAGCCTCAGGAAACTTTTACAGCAAAAAGCAAACTAGCTGTTATTAGGTAAAACTTTTGACACTCTCTAATTGTTTCCGGACACCAGTGGCAAAAATAAAAAAAAAATTAAAAAATCAGACTATTAATAAATGTAGGGGGGGAAGGGAGCAGTGTGAGAAGGGCAGGAAATTTGGTAGATGCTTCGCCTGAAACCAGAAACTTTGCGGTAGCACTATTACACTCTCCTGCAGGCAGTGAATATCTTTTGGTTTGGGTTGGGGATTTTTTGACTTTTCAGCCTTCTTCAGTGGAATTCAACTTGCAGGAAAAAAAAACTTTCCTTGCAAAATCCACCTGCAGGTTAAATTTAAAGCTTTTAGGACTAGAGCTTTCATTACAGAACTCTCAAGCCAGGACAAAACATGTTGCTTTCATCCCTGTTGCTGACCATCAAAAGCCCTAAGCTAGAACATAGGCAAGAGGGAATTCTCTATTTTCCCCCATAGGAGCAAAAGGAGAAAGTTACCCCTAGCAAACTTATTTTACAGGTTTTCATCCTGCTAGCCAACCTCTGAATGATATCTCTTGACATAAACGTATACCTTGTGGATGCATTTTGTTTTGGAAATGACGCATACAAATTTATTAACGTAAAAGAAGAAAAGAGCAGCTCCAGGAAAGTCTGTCACATTGAGCTAAAAAGATGCCTTTAAGTATTTTCTTCCATTAAGGAACATTTTTATATTTAGAAACAAGCTAATTACAATTACATGTACCATTTTGTAGAACACAGATGGCAAACTCTTACCTCCTTCTTGGTAAATTCTGGTGGATGGTCATTTTTGTCATCAATAAGAATAGTGGCAGTTGCTGTTCCAGTTAGTCCCACATCAAGACCACCCATATCCTTAGCTTCTATAACTAGCTCATATTTTGGGGTTTCCATAGTCTGAAAAAAAATAACAGAAAAGGAAAGGTTTAAAAAAAAAAAAAAAGACAACAGATTACATACTACTTTTAATTCACATTAAAATAGTAAATTTAAAAAAAAATCTAAACCCTAATTTGGCCTAATAAAACACAGCATAGAAAGAGATCTGTTATCAGTGTCTTACCAAAACAGAAGCACAGCTTTCTATAAGCTTCAGCTGCTACAATGGAAACCTCATTTGGAATACAAGTGAATATTGGTAAACAGTACATAATCTACCCTGTTATTTAAGGAGATTAGGAAAGAGGAAAGAAATTAAAATATACCTGCTCTTTAAGAGTAAGCTCTCACTTCAGTGCACCAATATTTAGCAGCTTGCTTCATCAGTGTTATGATGGGTACATAATTGAATACTAATGTCACAATCTACATATAAGTTCACTTTATTTTATTAAATCACATTCATTCTGTGTATTAGCATTTAGAATGGTAATCTAAGTTTGCTTCACTGTAAGAAACAAGAAAGCAGTTTCTAAAATGGGCAACGAATGCCAGTTATTGCACAAAGCAAATGTGTATAGTAACATTAATGATTTACATCTATAATGTTCGATTCCTGTGTCATGATTACTTACCTGCCAGCCTACCTATTGTAGAACCAGACAGCATAGGTCCATAGCAAAACCTACCCTTAATTTCCCTCCCCCAAAAGACAGTCAAAACTTGGAAAAAAAATTGTGGCCACCGTTCTGCAGTGGGAATATGACAGCATTTCTAATTCACCTCTCTTGCATCAGGCATGAAAGCACATCTGTTTGCAAGCTGGACAACAGGGTAGTAATAGGTCCCATCAAAGGCAGCTGTTATCAGCATCAGAACCTGCTCCCATGGAATTTGTAGAGAATTTTGACATGGATTTCACTGGAGACAAGACTGGGCTCCTAATTAAATTGAATATTTTCCCCATTTGTATGGCTGCCTTATATGGAACCATCTGCCTGAAGACCATATGTGCTGCATCATCAATGGAGGACACAGATGGGAAAGTGCTGCAGGCACCTTTAAAACTATATGGTAAGAATATCATGTGTGCTCAGGAATGTTTTTTCATACCTTCCTTGAAAAGTAAGCCTGGATCTCAGGGGCAAAGTGACATAAAGATGCCTGAAAAGGTGGCTAGTGGGCTTTTCTAACCTCAGACCAGCTCTATCAGCCAACTGTGATTACAAGAATGAAGGCTACACATCTTTGACATCACTCATCCTATGTCCTTTATCTAACACTTTTCCAGAGAATTAACATGGAGGAAGACAACTGGTGTTACACAACTTCGTACAGCAACACAGTGATCTCTGTTTACCACCCATGTGCTGCCTTATAAAGCAGAATCAAGGAAGTTGAAGTAGGGCTTGTCCCATAGCAGAGAACATAGAATCATAGAATGGTTTGGGCTGGAAGGGACCTTTAAAGGTCATCTAGTCCAACCCCTCTGCCACGAGCAGGGACATCTCCAACCAGATCGGGTTGCTCAGAGCTCCATCCAACCTGACCCTGAATGTTTCCAGGGATGGGGCACCTACCACCTCTCTGGGCAACCTGCTCCACTGCTTCACCACCCTCATCGTAAAAAATGTCTTCCTTATATCTAGTCTGAATCTCCCCTCTTTTAGTTTAAAACCATTACCCCTTGTCCTATCGCAACAGGCTCTGCTAAAGTTTGTCCCCATCTTTCTCATCAGCCCCCTTAAGTACTGGAAGGCTGCAATAAGGTCTCCCCGGAGCCTTCTCTTCTTCAGGCTGAATAACCCCAGTTCCCTCAGCTTTTCCTTATAGGAGAGGTGTTCCACCCCTTTGACCATTTTTGTTGCCCTCCTCTGGACCCGCTCCAACAGGTCCATGTCTTTCCTGTACTGGGGACTCCAGAAGTGGATGCAGTACTCCAGAGGGGGAGTAGAGGGGCAGAATCTGCTCCCTCGACCTGCTGGTCACGCTTCTTTTGATGCAGCCCAGGATACGGTTGGCTTTCTGGGCTGCGAGCGCACATTGCTGGCTCACGCCCAGTTTTTCATCCACCAGTACCCCCAAGTCCTTCTCTGCAGGCCTGCTCCCAATCCATTCATGCCCCAGCCTGTATCTCGCCATGTAAAATTTTAAATTGCTTATTTCTCATCTCTAGCTTAGCAAAGCAACCTCTCGGGTCACACAATCTTCTATGTTGCTAAGTGATTTGAAAGCGTTTACTATGCAGTGCATTTTTGCATTATGCATTTTCCTGGGTACAACACAACACCTTTCTTGGAGCATGTGCAAGAAGGAGATCCCAATTCCTTAGTACTTAGATCTTGAAGCATTTTTAGGCCATGAGAGAAGCAATCATATCAGTTGCTCATCAGAAGCAATATATTTGCATGCAAAATCAATGAGTCAAGCCAGAAGATACATTTAGTTTTAAAAACATATGGACTACTAGAAAATCAGATGCCACTGCCACATAGGGAATCCTAAGAAATGTATTTCCTTAAGTCTTACAACATTTTTTCATGAAATTCATCTCAGAAGGCAGCAAACCAAGAACAGTATTTCGATTTATAACATCATATAAATATACGCAAAGAAATATTACTGACATGTCTCCAACAAAAATTCAGATTACAGAGTGGAACAAAATTCACAGTTTTCATATACTTATTTTTTAAAATTTATTCGATGTATTCAAACCTGAATGCAGCTTCTCTCCCCTCCCCTAGATGCAACTTTTTCATTATTTTGATTAGGAAGTTGTTATTCTTGTATGGAAAACTTGCAAAGCCATTTATCACTTCATGTTTATAAGCCTCTTTGCTCAGAAAGAAGCCCATTTTTACTTACAAATTGGCCTTTTTTCCTTTGAAAACTGTCCCATTTTCTATTGAAAGCAAGCCCATTTATGCTAGAAATTGTGTCTACTGCAGCAGAAATTTCTGTGACAAGAGTCCAATGTTTAAGCTCGCAACGGAATGTGAAAACATTGAATTTTGAGTAGTATTTCATATCATTATGAATACTTCACACTTTCCTGCTATGCAGCACTTTCTACATCTAGTTCTGTCACCAAATATTTGCTTTGTTGGAGAAAGCAACTCCTAACAGATCCAAACCTGAGAGCAGAGGCATGTTCCCATCAGATGCTCTCTTTACACCGGGAGATTGCATGTAAAGAACTTTTTTGCATTTCTCATACTTGTATCCCAGTTAATTCAGGCACTAGCAGCAATTATTTGCGTCTGTGTGATTCATCACACTACCGGTAAATCCTGGGACACGGGAGTGGGGATCTGTGGCCGGAGCATGGGTACCTGTGCTCTTCCTAAGCCCGTTCCTCAGCTGACGAGGCTGGGGAGGGCCAGGATCTGGGCTGGGACATCCCCCAGGAATTGCCAGTGCCAGCTATCGTGGCAATTCCTCATCTTTTCCCTCTTGGCAGGGCTCAGGCCTTTTACCCCAGTGCAGTCTCTCCCTGCGCTTGCTCCCATCTTGCAAGAGACGGGTGTTCCTGGAGGAGGGCGGTGAAGGAGAAAAGCAGCCTTTCTTCACCTTCTCCATCCCTGCTACACCAGGCAGGTTAGGGATAAATGCAGCCCCCGCTCTTGGCAGCATTTTGGGACCCCACAGTTGCTCAGACTGGTGTCCCACCATGACATTGCCTGTCACTAAACCCAGGCCCCCCGCTTCTGGAAGCAGTCACCTAGCCCCTGAAGCATACTCTCGCAAAACCAATCCGATTAATACCGTTTGGATAGCGAGCTGCTAGCAATATAAATATGCAACGACTCCCAACAAAGTGAATCTACAGCTAAAAAGGATAATAGATGATTTTAATAAATGAACATTAAGTCGCTGTTTGTGCGGCTTATTATTTATCAACTGTGACTTTGTGGAGTGTAACACTGTTGAGAGGGTTTGTATAATTACAGCAGGAGAACCATTCCTTTCCCCATAAATTTTCACTCCAGTCATTTAGCCACGGCAGGGGTGACACTGGCAAATTGTTTGGTTTGCCAAGGAGGTGAACTGTGTCTTGAGTGTTTTTCTTTGAAGGTCCACCCACTGCCATTCTCACCAGTGTTAACATTCCTATCAGATTTCACTCCCCTGCTGCCTCGACATAACTGGTTCAGCACCAGTAAGCAACGAGAGGCCAGAACGGCACTTTTTCAGATTTCAGATTCCTGACAAAGCCAGCATGATCTAATCACAACAGAGGGAAATAAAACAGTTTGGTGCAGATACACACAGGTGGAACAAACCAAGTGATTACTTTTAGGTGGTGCTGAATGAAACCAGATAATGATGGTTTTCTGCTGAGTTTTAATCTTTTAATATTTCCTACAGATACAATAAAAAACTATCAGTGACTTAAGAGAAGCAAGCCATGGCTAGTATTTCACATCAGCAGCAGTAACAGTCCAAGTCTTGGCATAAGCTATCACTTGCAGGCTGTAAGGCATTCACGTGCCATTTGAATTCAGCTGGGATTGACAGCATCCTCGGTACAGTAGGACTCAAAAGGTAAGATGGAAACAAGTGGAACTACTTGCATGATTACAAGAAAGGTTTAGAAGCCTTAGGTGGACATGTTTGAAAATACCAGTGGTCAAGTCCTGAATTTCCAGTAATGTACATGGACTCTCAGAGCCTTGGTATTGCTAGAACAACAACAAATCCCCTCTCTGAAACTTCAGACGCCCAAAGCTTTTAGAAGCATGACCAATGTGTCTCCCCTTGTTTATTTATCTGGTAAGGAAGTGCAGTCACTCAGGAAGCTGAGGTTTTCACCACGGCCTGGCTTTTTTTTCCATCTACCTTTAGGCATCCAAATTAAGTGACTGCTCTTTGGAGCATCACTGCCATGAAGTCAAAGGAGAGAAGCCATTTCTGTATTTGTCTGCACTGATGATCTCAAGAGCTCAGTGCTCCTTAGCGCACATACCTTGGCACATGACCAAAGCTGGTTTAAGATTTTAATGACTTGATAAAGA